CAGCCAAGCGAGCTGGGGGTTGGGGAAGAGAAGCCAGGCGGAGCCAGGGCCTAGGCTTGGTCCTTGCGGGAAGGGAAAGGCGACTGCTACCTGCTCGGCACGCGGTGCGTAGGGTTGGGGCCCGAGACCTCGGTCCTGGAGGTGCCCACTGCCCGTATCCCCCTCCTCAGCTGCTCGCTCCTGGTGCCTCCTTCCCGTGGCCTCTGCGTTCAGGCTTTCTCAGAGAACTTTCTGGAAGGCCAAGGGTGGCAAGAGCCTTGTCCCATCCCCACCCCGAACTGAAGAGTAGAGGCGAGGCTTTGTGGGGGGTGGGGCCTCGTCAAGATGCAACCAGCCTCTGGGGGCGCGGGATGCTGCAGGCTGCTTGGGTTCCGAACTTTTGAGTTAACACCTGTATTAAGGATGGACAACTGGAAGGCAGTGGGAGAGAGACCAAATTAGTGCTGGGGATGCAGGCAGAAGCCACCTCTATCACTTGCACACACTAGCTGTGTGACCTGGGCAAGATTCTTAGCTGCTCTGAGCCTGGCTTCCCTTGTTTGTGAAATAATGATGACGATCTCTTTATCATAAGGCAGTCCTGGGAGTTAAGTGACCAGGACATGTAAAACACCTGACAAAGAGTTAAAGTTGAGTAACTATCAAGGTGCTTGGCCTCTTGTTTGACAGAATTCTAGAATTCCACAGCCTGTCAGTCTGGCCACTCCTGCCCTATTAGGACAAATGAGCCTGTTCGCTGAGCCCTGTCCAGTAAACTGAGGTTGGGCTCAATTGTACCTTCCAAATCTCTGTTTGAGGGTACCCAGGAGTCCTCTGGAGTCTGAAAAGGTAACAATTTGGAGGACTCTGACTACTAGTCAAGTTCTCTGCAAAATCCCTTTTTCTCAGGGAGCTCCTAGTGTGAGGGGCAGCTCTCGCTCTCAGGGAGCCTCTTGCATGACTGATGACAAAGCACAGAGGAAGAGCAAGCTTTTCAGATAGACCTGAGTTCTTGGGAGCCAATGGAAAACAGGCTAGAATACTCAAATCTCAAAACATCTGGATGTACCCCAGGGGCTCTCTTGATTGCCTCTCCTCTTGGGCAAGCCTATCACCACTTCCCTGCAAACCACTCCTGAGTCCCCACACAAGACCTTTCTTAGGATACGATGCTTGCTCTTTATTGAATGCCGTACTTCATGCCACTCTGCCTGATGCTTCATCTTTCAGAAACAGCCAAGAAGCCACATCCCCCATGAAACATGTCCACAATTCTCAACTTCTAAGCAGCTTGGCTCCTACCAGGATTTTCTTTACTGGCCATTTTGGCTCACTGTGGTTTGATGGATTCTCCACACAGTCCCTGAGCAGCAAGGATGGCATTTTATTCATCACAGTGCCCTCCTATCGAATGTTTGCTGAATGAATAAATAAGGGCCTTAAGTTGGCTGAAGCTGTTAAGGAAGAAAAGGAACTAAATCCAGAGTTCTTATGAAAAAAAGGGAATTGCTAGAAAGAAAAATGGAACAGGTCACAAAAGCCTTTGCTGTAGCCAGAATTGCCACTTAGTTGTCATGTGACCTTGGACAAGTCACTTAATTTCTGACCCTTAAAGATTTCTTATCTCTAAAATGGAGACAATAATCCCTATCCTGCCTAACTCACTGGGCTGTGGTGGGGCAAACGGTTCTGTGTGTAAAACAACGTAGTACGGTGGAAAGCGGTTGGAACGGAAGACATTGCTATTGAGGATGGAATAGTAAGAATGGGCCACTGGGTGTGTGGCAAATGGGAGTAACAGATTACTGGATTTTAGGCCTAAGTGATTTGGACGGAGGGTTTAGGCTACTCCTGAGCCTTGTCCTTTGGGTGGGAGCTTGGAAAACACAGAATTTTCACACGGAGAATATGTGTGTGTGTCTCCCCCACCCCCAGGAATCTACGCCACAGTTCTGGGCCAGAATCTCCCTGCCCCCATTTCTGGGCAAGTCTTCCTCCTTGGGGAAGCGACTGGCTCTGCTTCCCTCTGGTGTTGCCCAGGGCCCGCTGATGAGGCCTCTATGGATGATTCCCCCTTCCCTCTCCACTAGCCAGGGCTGATTATTTTAACTCATTATTAATTCCGAACCCCTCCCACAACAAAGAGGCTCATCAGCTGACCCGGACTCCCCGTCTGGGCTCAGGAAATTCTCCTGGTCGGTTCCCAAGCGGAGACCGAGTCAGCCCCAAGGAGCCATTTTCTTCGCTAGACGCTGAGGCCCGGGGAGGAGGAAGAGGGGCGAAGTCTTCCTCCGCCCGGGATCTCCTGGGAAGACGGCACGCACACCCGGTGCTTCCCCGGCCCAGGCGAGAGGCTGTCACGGCCCACCATTTTGCACTGGCTCCTGGGGCGGCGGCAGCCGTGAAAGACGAAGCTGGGGCTGGGACTCGACCACTTTCGCCCAAGGGTCCCGAGGCCAGTCCGAAAGTGGACGTCACCCGGGACTCGAACCTGCCTTCTCATCTTCGGAGGCCTAGTCCGAGGTTGCTGCTCTAACGCAGTCACACTGCCCCTTTAAGGCGGCACTTTTTATTCTTCATTTGTTTACTTCTTCATGCGCTTTTTCCAAAATGTGTTCACAATATCCTTCCGCAAATGCCAATCCTAGTCACTAGCCACAAACCTTGAAGCCATTCCTGTAATTTTAAGAATAAAGAATTATTAGCTGTGGGCCATCGTCTCTCTTTATAGAATTTAATCCTTTTTTACACTTTAGGGACTACTTTTTTAGGAGTAAACCATTTTGGCTTTAGTTAACAAATGTTTATGACCTTCAAAACCTTTCCCCTGAAGACAGGATATGACAATAGCCTTCAACACGCACCTTTTGATAAAAATATTCTGTATAGGCCCTCACAGGCCATCGAATCTTCTCCTATTCCTGAAGCAGAATGGTACGGCCCAGAACCCGCCCCATCTTCTCTGCGATTGGTCTTCCTTCCTCGGCGAGACGTGTGCCTCTTGACCAATGGCCGCTCACGTTTCTGAAGCGAGGGATCAGCGATGGAAGGAGGCCACCTGGAAGACGCCCCCTACGCGTTCTGGGATTGGCTACGTCGCACGGCGCGGGAGGACGGCGGGCCTGAAAGAGGGGAACTACGACTCCCAGCTTCCTGCGATGGGGACTCCGTTACGCATGCGCATGGGCGGGGCGGACCGGCTTCTATATAAAAGGGGCGCAGAGGGCTGGGAGGCAGCAGTTGGAAGTTGGCAGGTGGAGAGGCAGGTTGGGAGGGGAAGTCGGGGGAGGAGGCGGAAGAAGAGCTGTCGGAGGGGGAGGAGGGAGGGAGGAAAAAAGGAGGAGGCGGAGGAGAACTGAGCTGAGCCGAACATCGAGCCAAAGGGGAGATGAGTTTGTCTGTCCTCGGCTGAGGCTTCGGCCGGGCCTAGGGAACTGGGAGCTCGGGTTGGAGCGACACCCGTGGAAGTGGGAGGAGGTGGCTCTGGGACTTTAACCCCTTGTGGACTCTGCGGCAGGGGATTTAACCCTTTGTGGATCCGGCCCCTCGGAGTCAGCGTCATCGGGTAGTTTTAACCCCTTCGGGGCTGGGTTTAACCCGTTGGATTTAACCTCATCTCCTTGCTCACGAACTCCTCCATCGCGGGGGCGCTCTGCGGGGAAGCTTGAGGCCCACCCCCTCTGCACATTACGTACTGTTTCTGCTGCTGCACCCCCTTGGACCCGCTCGCTGGCCGCACTCTGGGAGCTTAACCCTTTACTGACTTGAGCTCCCCCAAGTTGCAGTTGGAGTTTGCTGACAGAAGGACTGGCTAAAGGCATCACTACAGGAATTATAGACCGAAAAGGATTGTGTTGGACATTTTTTAAAAGCAAAGAAAAACCTCTTTTTTCTTTAAGGACTTACAGCGAAAATTCTTCAAACTTCGAGAAGAGGATTCTATTTGCCATGGCCGAGCCACTCTTGTCAGAGTATCAGCACCAGCCTCAAACTAGCAACTATACAGGTGCTGTTGCTGTCCATGAAGAACAGAACCCCGATCGCCCCCCTGGCGCGGAGGAGCGGGTGCCCGAGGAGGACAGTAGGTGGCAATCGCGAGCGTCCCCCCAATCGGGTGGCCGTCCAGGGCAGTGGGGGGAAGGGAGCCTGAAGCCCCAGCCGCCTCCCCTGCAGACCCAGGTCTGCACAGAATCCAGCTGCCTGAAAGCAAGTGAGAAGGGCCAGAATGGGGACGACTTGTCCGCTGGCGGAGTCCCCCAGCCAGCGGCGGGAGGGGAACAGAGGCCCCAGGCCGTGGAGCCACTCTTGTCAGAGTATCAGTACCAGCCTCAAACTAGCAACTGTACAGGTGCTGTTGCTGTCCATGAAGAGCAGAACCTAGATCACCCCCCAGGCGCGGAGGAGCGGGTGCCTGATAAGGACAGTAGGTGGCAATCGCGAGCGTCCCCCCAATCGGTTGGCCGTCCGGGGCAGTGGGGGGAAGGGAGCCTGGAGTTCCAGCCACCTTCCCTGCAGACCCAGGTCTGCCCAGAATCCAGCTGCCCGGAAGCGGGTGAGAAGGGCCAGAATGGGGATGATATGTCCGCTGGCGGAGCCCCCCGCCGGCGGCGGGAGGGGAACAGAGGTCCGAGGCCGAGCCGCTTGTCCAGCCTTGTCATGACTCCGAGACCAACAAGTTGGGGGCTTCTGCTGCAAGGGGCGAAGCGGCGTGGAGACAGCAGCAGAGACAGCTGGGCAAGAAAAAACATAGGAGGAGACGCACTTCCAAGAAGAAGAGACTTTGGAAACCTTACTACGAGCTGACCTGGGAGGAGAGAAGAAAGTTCGATGAGAGACAGAGCCTGCGAGCTTCGAGGATTCGAGCGGAGATGTTCGCCAAGGGCCAGCCGGTCGCGCCCTATAACACCACGCAGTTCCTCATGGATGATCACGACCAGGAGGAGCCAGATCTTAAAACCGGTCTCTATCCCAAACGGGCCGCTGCCAAATCCGACGACACCAGTGATGAAGACTTTATGGAAGAAGCAGCCGAGGAGGATGGGGGCAGCGACGGGATGGGAGGAGATGGCAGCGAGTTTCTGCAGCGGGACTTCTCGGAGACATACGAGCGGTACCACGCGGAGAGCCTGCAGAACATGAGCAAGCAGGAGCTCATCAAAGAGTACCTGGAGCTGGAGAAGTGCCTCTCTCGCATGGAGGACGAGAATAACCGGCTGCGGCTCGAAAGCAAACGGCTGGACGGCGACGACGCGCGTGTGCGGGAGCTGGAGCTGGAGCTGGAGCGGCTGCGCGCCGAGAACCTCCAGCTGCTGACGGAGAACGAACTGCACCGGCAGCAGGAGCGAGCGCCGCTGTCCAAGTTTGGAGACTAGACAAACTTTTTGGGGGGAGGGGGCAAAGGGGACTTTTTACAGTGATGGAATGTAACATTATATACATGTGTATATAAGACAGTGGACCTTTTTATGACACATAATCAGAAATCTCTGGCTTTGGTTGGTTTGATAAATTTAGCTATGATATGCTTTCTCCTGTTCTTTTAATTATGTGAAACCGAAGGGTTGCTTTTCTTGTTTTCCTTTTTAGAAGTTTTCTTTTTTAACGTGTAAGTAACTTGACCAAGTTATAATGCATTTTTCTGTTAAAAATCCTCTCCTTAAATGGAGCTATAAGGTGGCCAAATCTTAGAACCATTAAATTCATTCTAGTTATAATAAATTTAATATTTGTAAATGTAACATAGTTTCAGTGTGATTTCTAGAGCTAATTCGAAATAGTACTGATTTATGTGATTGCATTTTTCGGGGGGTAGAGAGAAATTATTTGTCAATTTTCAAAAAAACAATTCTTTAATGGGAGAATTTTCAATTTGCCGATTTTTCTCTTGAATGGGTTTTAGTATGCTACAGTATACAGTTCCGGCAAAATATAAAGGTTTAAGTATCTTCAACACTTAAGTGTGCTTGCCTAGTGCCTTGGTTTTCTTTCTTGATGCTGGAAAAATAAACCAGTGTTGAGTGTTTGGAGAGTAGAAAGTGACTACAATCAGCAGCTTAAAATTTAATTCTGCTTCCCAATAGCCATTAAAAAGTCTATTAACAAAAATATAAACCTAATCTGGCAGTTTGTTAGGTTATACAACTGACAGCCAGCCTCATTTCATTCCTACAAGTTGGATTTTAGTAATTCTCTCCCTCCAGTGAAACTGGAAGGAGTTCTTGGATGCCTGGAAAAGGCTCTTGGTAAACTTCTTGCTTTCTTAGTGCAAGCAATGGTTGGATAAACATGGGACAGCTCTTTGTTAATATATCTAGAGGTAGGGAATATTGGATTTATAGAGGAAACGGCCATTTGGGGCATTCCAAGGATTTAACCCTAACTGTCCAATACTTAGGTGCTCCCTATACCAAAAAAAAGAATAGAGCTCCCCACCTTTTCATGAGTCAGACTAAAATTAGAAATGCCCCCTCACTGCAAATCAAATGTAAAGCTTCTGGTTAAGGAGCTAAATTAAATCCTTAGGGGCCGAGTGGGAACCATGCACATTCCCTGTACAGCTGATATACGAAGTCTCCTAACTGTGCTTAGTCCTTGAGTAGTTCTGCTCTTGAAAATACAGGGACACCTTGGGAATTTCTGCTCCCAAATCAAAATAGAAATTCTAAGATTATTTCCCTCCTGTCACCATGGTTAACCTAGCCCATCTTTACCTGCCCTGTGTCATTGTTTCTCTGGGGCAATTGCATTGGTCAAATCACTAGCACAGGGCTTCCTTCACTTGGGGCCTTAGAAGCTTTGGGGCCCCTGAACCCCATGAAATTATATGTAGACTTGGATTATATACATTTTTCTGGGGAAAGGGTTCAAAAGAATCACGAGATTGTTAAACTTGAAGGTTAAGAACCCCTGCAGGGAAATTAAAAAAACCCTCCTATTGGGAAGGTTGCTTTTGCAGCTAAATTGAATAGTGGAGGTGGTGGGAACTTCAATAATGAAATGCACCGTACAATGCATGAGAAGCATACACTAATCAATGAATCAAGGGAAATTATGACAGTTAAGACTAACTCAGGGCCTTCAAAGCTGGAATGAGCTGCCCTATTCTGGCAGATGGTCCACTAGAGACAATGTATGATCAGCTTTTCCTTTGGCCTAAAAATTACATTAAAAGTCTATTTTGAAATAGTTTTCTTCGTGTTTTCAATTTCCCTTCTGCTATGATGTCATGCAGCAGTCCCAGAAACAGAGTGCTTGGAAAAGCAGCAACACTGCCCTCTGGCTTTACAGTACAGAGCAGAAGCCTCATTTTGACTGCATTATATAGGATGCAGCAGTGATAACCTCTGATTTTAGAACCTCTTAAGATGGATTTAAGTATAATGATCTTGTTTCCCCTATTAGTCTTGGAAAGAATGCGTAAGACTTACAACTGTTTAAGTGCACCAGGAAAAAGCTTGTAAATTTTAGGAGACAAACTCAATCCAGTCTTTCAAAATACACAAATCTTTAAGGTTTTGGGGTTTTTTTGTTTGTTTGTTTTTGACAGGGGGCAGGGAGGATTCAGTTTGTTTGTTTAATGGTACTGGGGATTGAAGCCAGTACCTCATGTATGCTAGGCATGCACTCTGCCATGAGCTATACCCTCCCCTCTCAAATACTTAGTTTTAAGTAACTCTTTCATAAATTACTTTGATTAACCTTGAGATATGCAACTTTCTGAATTTTGCTTTCAAAGTCACTGGCACTTCACTATATTTATTACATCTATTTGCATGAAATGTCAGTTTTCTATCAACACTTTCTACAGTGAAACTTGACTCGCATATTGTTCTCAGGGTAGAGAGAAAAGACTGAATTACCTATATTAACAGGGAGTTGTGATGACATGATCCTCAAGTGCACCCTAGCCTTTCACTAGTCTTCTCTGCCAAAGACTTTAGATGAGCCACTCAAAAGACCCTGCTTACACACTGGCAATATCAGTTTGCTCCCTTTTTCATACTGGGGACTAGTGTATCCAGGCAAGGAAAAGCACTTCCCAAACTTTGGAGACAGCTGGCTGGACAGCTTAATTCTCCTCTGAGTAACAAAAACTTTTCTTGGGCTAGCCTACAACCTAAAGCTACCCTCAGGAGACAAGGCCCTTTAGATTTCAATCCGGGGGAAGAAAGCCAGGGAGTTCCAGATTGGTTTAATTCTGAAAAATAAATTTAGTATTTCCAAGGAAAAGAAACATAAAATTAGACCAGATGTCAAAAAAAATCAGGTTCCAAGTTATACCTTTGATGTATACTAGCAGTGGAACCCTGGACACCTCTCTTAAAACTCTGGATCTCATTCTTTGAAGCAAAACAGGGCCATGCCTACTTTACATAACTTCTGTTAAGGATTAAACGAGATAGCATGAAAACGGGTTATACAAAAGTAAGGTACCACTGGTATGATTACTGGTTCTTTTTAAGACCAGAACAGTTGATCAGTTATTTTAATTTTCACTTTGTCCAGAGTGAAATAAAAATCCTTTGCTTAGGGAAATGTAAATAAATATACTTCATCCCCATCACTTCAAAAGTGAGAGACACCAAAGAGGGAATTGACAGAAATACAAAAACAAAATCCACAACTGAATAGTCTACCTTCAGAAAATCAACGCTTAGTCAAACATTAGGTAATGAACCACAGGTGTCTGCTTTGGCCACTTACACCAACAGCTGGCAACAAATATCCACAACAGTGTGATGGAAAAGCTGGCTAGAGTTGAACAGTACTGTACTTGTACCTAAGTACACCTGAGTTTATGGTTTTTTAAAAATTATTTTTTACACTTGTCAAGTAAGAGTATTGGAATAAAATTTCACTTTACTATTCCTTCTCATGTAAAGTATAAATGGTTGTTGCTAGAAACGAGCAATTTTTAAAACAAAATGTTGAATTTAGGCCCTGAACACAGTGGGATCTGCTGACCAAAAGGTAATAATAGTCATACTCTGTGAGACAAAATATACAGTCTAGGAGGCGAAAATTCAGTATTTGGCCAATTTCTGCCAGCTGTCTTTGAATGCTGGAAAGCTTACAACGTCATTACATTTCTTGTTGAAAAACAAAGGCTGGTTTTAGACAGATGACTAACTTAGCACTCACAAATCCTCCTAAATTTTCTCTTGGGTTTTACTTAGAGGCGGTTCAATTATGACAAATGATATAATGTGGGTAACAGCAGGAATAATCCTACTAGTTTACTAATAAACCTCTGCACACCAACAAAATTCTTTCAAATGGTTGAGCTGCTACTGGAAACTGTTGGTAAGTCTTCTGAAATAGCTAGTGTGATTCCTTCCCTCATTACAGAACCAAGAGCAGTTATATTTGGCTTAAAATTTTTCAAGAGCAAAGATTCAGAAGGGTATTGTGAACTCTCATTTAAGTCATATTCTATTTGACACATCCAGTGACTCTGTGTGAAGTGTTAAAAAGCCTTGGGTCTGCAGTGAGCAAAAAGGATATTCCTGAAGGAAAATGTGGGAGCTTTATGGTGTTCCACACACAAGAATATGACAAAATGATGGCATCACTGCTTTTTGTAAGTGTCTCAGTAGAACTTGTCCAGAGTGTCAGAGGAGATTAATTTGAAGTTCTGAAGTCAGCTTTAAACATGTACTGCATACCTGGATAACTCCAGGACAACCATCAGGCAAAGGCAGAAGACCAAACTAGGGGACGGAAGGGATAAAAGAGCAAACACTTGAACTTAAAAAGAGAAAAGACAGAGAAGAGGATGGTGAGAGCTAAACACAGAGAGAAAAAACTGATTAACTGTGGAAATCAAATAGGTCAGAAGCAATCATCTTTATCCTGAAGAGGACTGCTGCAAAGGATCACTCCTCTGTCAATGAATCCTGCTCACACACAGCCACTAGTCCCAGGAGTTAGCAATCAGGCAAACATAAAATCTCCAGGACTTGCAGTAACAACTGCTTGGTACCCCAAGAGACTGACCTGGGTTCAGCTTATTTAGAGGGCCCATGGCAACCAAGGCCATACTTTGGTAAGGCAGGCCTCCCAACTGCCCCAAATAACCTTTGAAGCAGAAGTTCTAAAGTTTCCAAATAACAAAGTTATAGCAAGTAAATGTTTACATAGCCACTGAAGAGTAGTTACTCCAGGTATTTATAAGAGAGGCTGCACTGATACCATTTTCAAATTAGGAAACTAAGGGTTTGTAGAATTTGTCATAAACCACAAAGCAACTCATCTGAAAGGGGAGAGCTGAGAAGGAAGTTGAAGGTCTGGCTGAACATTAGACGAACAATAGACTCAGCAACAAAATGACCAGTCTGGCCTCATCTTCAGGATTTGGCCTCTAGCCAAGCCAACTAAGACTATGGTAGCACACACAGAAATAGAACTTGAAGTTCATACTTCCAGTCCTGTGTTTTGCTCAGTAGCAACGGACCATTAATAAATTGGTTTTATTCCCAGCCTCTTTCTTATCAAGGAATGGAAAAGCTTGTGGGTCAACCTTAAAGAAGATAAACTTTCATCTTTATAAATGAGTAGCAAATTTCTGCACCTGGTGTTCTCCACTTAGTAGCATCCAAACGTTTAACAAGATTACTTCACAATGGAGGAAGAATCATTAAGAGTCCGAGATCCTCCACTATTAAATTCTTGACAGAAGAACCACAAAGATAATCTTTAAAGCCCCTTTTGGCTGCTATGACTATTTAGCTTTTCCTAACTCCATCTTCTCTTGATCTGAAGAACAGTGTGAACATGACGTAAGCGAAAAGTCAACCTACAGTATGAATCAAGTGTACAGAAGCTTCCTTTACGATAAGTGGTTCAAATTTAACTTTATTGGGGGGGGGTTAGGTTTATTTATTTTTTAATGGAGGTACTAGGGATTGAACCCAGGGCCTCATGCATGTTAGGCATGCACTCTACTACCACTGAGCTATACCCTCCCACAAATGGTTCAAATTTTAGATTAAGAACCTGACTTGATGACTGTATTTTTGCAATCCAGTTCTAAAACATCTGTCAGGGGTGGGAGTGGGGCGAGGAAATAGTTACAGCTATGGAACTGTCATTCTTACAACCTTAAAAAAACTACTTTATTAATAAGAGAAACAGGGCTTCAGTTCTAAAGAAACTTTGCTATTTAAGCCAAATGGTTAGGAATGATTTGACCATATGTGATTGGCAATGAGACTCATTACAACATACCCTCAAAGATAAAGTTCACTGCCCACTCACTCTCCTACTTGAGTTTACCTAGGCATAATTTTAACTGGCCTTTTTAAACAATATTAAGCTATCCCAGAAACGTGAATCTCTCTGAATTTAGATTTAGAGCAGTAGGAAACAAGATGGTTTAATCTGCAATTCAGGAAAAGAATTTCGTATCAAATTTCAATCCTTTAGAAGCTGCTGCAGCTGTAATACAAGGTTGAGTATTTATTTTTTCAAATCAGGTCTCTCCTACTGCCCAAACGGTACAGATATGAAGTAGCTCAACTGTAACTTCTATTCTGGTAGCCATCTGGGATCTACATAAGTAACTCTTTTTGGAATTTCAAAATAGAGGTTCCCTAGTAACAATGCCTAGTGGCAAAATATTCCCCCATTTTGTTTCGTTTGTGGGAGAAAACTTCTTTAAACTGGAAAGAATTTGTAGTCTTATAAAGATTACATTGGAATTAGTTCGTTTTTTCCTCTAGGAGGGCAGCCATTTCTCCCAAAGTTTGGTAAAAGTTATGGCTCAGATTTCAAAATGCAAACAGATGTTCCTGAAGCATCCGAAATGGGCCACTCCACTTTTATTCCCAGAACCGTGGCGACTCCGTTATTTTGTGTTCCAATTCTGCAGAGAGCAAAAACCCACTCCTCTTTGGTGTAAACTTTCAAGAGAAGTGGAACAGCACACTTTTGAAGTTTCCCTCAGTGGATGACGACATGCGAGGTCAGGTCGTTCCCGAGAATCGGGGCTGGACAGGGGAAATCTCGAGGACAAGAGCGCTCAGAGATTTCCTCGCGCCCCGATCTAGCTGGTCCCAAGGGGGATTAGTGGTTGCTACAGTAGGAAGAAGGCTGTTCCTTTCCGCAGCCGTGGCCACGGGATGGCCTTGGTGTATAAGTGGGGAGATGGTGGGTGCACCTGGCTCTCTGCCCTCGGAGCCTCCAGCGGGCTGCCACGCCAGAGGGACGCGCGGCCGGAGCTGAGACCTCCACCCACCCCCGCGGCCCCAATCTTTGGAATCTGGCGTCGCCCCACCTCGCCGGTTGAAGCGGGCGTCCCGACACGCCGGGCCGCGCCGCCATACCCAGGCCGCATGGGGGTGGGGAAAGAACTTGGCGGAGCTCCGCCTCATGATTTGTGCCCCCGTGGAAAAAACAGAGGGGAGTCGTTTCACCCGGTCTCTCCCCAACTGGGGTCTCGGGAAACACGCGGTAATTACCCAAGAACCCCGCCCACTGTGAGAGGCGAGGCTGCGGGGCTGCCGGGACGGTTTGAGGACCAGGCCCGGCCAGGGAGACTCCAACCTTCACCCGCCCCTGATCCCCGGTCCCACTCCCGGCCGTCCCCGGCGTCGCCACTTCAGGCAGCCCACTCGGCCCGGCCTCTCCCCGCGCCCGGACCACCCCCCATGGGGTGCTCTCACTGCGCAGCGAGTCCCTCCGCTGCCTCCTCCCAGCCCAAAATGGCGGCGGCGGCCACCGTTCCTTCTCGTCGCCTTCCTCTAGGGCGGAGGATCCCTCCGCTCCCAAGCCCCTCCCATCTCAGCCGGATCTATTTCCTGCCCAATAAAGATTAACGCCATCAATGAACTCTTTAATTGAGATCGGAAAGGCGGTTCCGGTTGTGCTTCCGCACAGCTAATTGTTGACAAAAGTGAGGATATTGGCAGGCGAGTGGACCAATCAAAGAAGATGTCGGTGAGCGCGGGACGCCACTCGCGCAAGGGTAGATGGTTTTTGGAGTTTCTGTGTGTGTGTGTTGAAGTGACAGGTTCTTGATCCGCCTTCCTCAGCTAGAAGAACTACAATCCCCAGCAGGCACCACGCTGCCAGGCCGGGCCCCCCTTCCCCCAACTTTAGTGCCTGGGCTGCTTGACCAGAGCTGCAGCAACTGTTGCAAGAGGTAGGGCTGAGGCGGTGGGAATTGCACAGACAGGCGGTCGCACAGAAAGACACACAGATATAGTCGTGTGCATAGCCCTTGACAGCAAATAGGTCAGTTCTGCCTTCGCAAAATCTCCTTCCCAGATCATTTCCCGTCTTCCAAGGAATCCATCCTGAAGCCAGACCAGCTGCCTGTAGTGCGAAGACTTCTCTTTCTCCTTTCCTCTGTTTCCCATCCTGAGGAAGGAGGAAGGCAGGCCAGTCCCTGTAGATAAAAAGGCCTCAGCCCCAGGATCAGCCCAGGCCCCAGTCGTGTTTCTTGAGGCATTGACTTCTGGAACCCTTCTTGGGGAGGAGGTGAGGGGGCTGCAGTCAAGATTGGGGCCTCTGGAGTCAGTGGGGAAAGGTCTTCTCCTAAGGCTTGTTGGAGCCACTGACCCACTCCACTCCCAGCCTCTCCAGGTAATTGTTGTACATTTGCCTCCCCAGTCAGTCTATTTTCACCCCCTTTCATTACTGAGGGAACAAAGATTAGGCCTAGCTTTCTAGCTGGCAGCCTGGGCCTCAGTGACTTTCAGGAGAAGAGTATAGGATGTAAGCTCTGGCCTGAGGAACAGAACTGGAAAGATAACCCCTTAATCCTTATTTGGCCCCTTGTTGGCTGGAGGTTTTGACACCAGGGTGGAGGCTCCCTTCAGGCCCTTCCTTTGAACTGAGGATGTGCAGGTCTGGTGCTACAAAATGGCTGCCGCTGCCTTGGTAGCCAGAGTCTTCCTGAAACTTCTCCTTCAAAACTTAGGTTTCTGTTATTTAAAGCAGGTGTCACTAGTTAAAGGCATCTGCTGAAAGATTTGGAACAGAAGAAGGTGACTACTCCAAACCAGACCAACAGTAATACAGAGTCACCAGCAGCCCTGGAGGAGGCCAAGGTAAGCCCCACCCTCCCAACCACGCGAGTACCCTGAACATGGATCCTGCCAAATGGGACCCCGGCTTCTTGTCTCAGGTGTGTTGGCGGATTTGGAAAACCAATATTTTTAAATGAGTCCCTACTGTGTGCTGAGCAATATGCTAAATCTGTGCTATTTTATGAAATCCTAGTAGCCCTTCGAGGTAGGAGTTACTATTTCCATTTCAGAGAAGCTAAGGTTTTTTTGTTCTGTTCTGTTTTGTTTTGTTTTTGAATGGAGATGCTGGGGATTTGTTTTGTTTTTTAATGGAGGTACCTCATGCATGCTAAGCAGGCGCTCTACCACTGAGCTATATCCATCCAAAAGCTAAGGTTTTGAGAGCTGAAATACCTTTTCTAGAATCATGCAGCCAGCAAGCAGAAGACTCAGGGTCTAAACTTAGAGCCTTAAATGACAGAACCCTGCCTTGCATTTTGCCTAGGCTGAGAACCAAGTCTGAAGCAGGGAGAAGAGTTTGAGTCATTGGTTCACAATTTAGGGTGAGGGTTAGCGGGGAGAAAATCACCCAGGAGAAGAGGGAGAGACAGATTGTATCAGCCCCTCAGAGAACATCACCTTCTGATCTGGCTCCGGGAGCCCAATCCCTCCCAGCCCATAGGCTCTCACTGTCCGTACTTCGCCCATTCTTCTCCCCTAGTCCAGACTCCCTATAGGTAACAAGGAAACTGCTCCTCTAACCCACCTTACCTAGCTACTTCCAGTGTTTTCTGGATTCATTTAATTTGGAATTCATGGTATGTCAGAGCTAGAAGTTTCAGAGAGGGCAAATGCTTACCTGCAATAGTGGTAATGGTGGCAGAGAGACAAACCTTTAGGAGGGAGGCAGCATGTGTGGGGCTGAAGGGTAGGGCTGGCTTGGGTTGGGGGAAGGATCATGGGGGAGATTTGCTGAGGAATGGGAACAGATAAATGATTGTGTACATACGAGCCCCCCTACCTGGAACTTCCTAGCAGCCTTACCTCTTCCCAAGTGGGACAGAAGCTCTTCTCAGTTGACCCAGACACTGGGGGAGACAAGGCCTGTAACTCTTGATTGATGATTTCCCTGCAGGTGAAATAACAATACAACACAACAGACAACACACACAAGCCAATATACCCAATCCCAAATTATGAGAATTCCAGGGTCTCCAAAACACATAGAACACACCTCTAGCTCTTACAGGGCTGCATACATCCACCAGTACACACCCTACACTTTTGTGGATCCACACTTGGATGTCTCCGAATGGTGCTGTACATTATACAACACTGGGTCAATGGTAGTGGTTATTATTAGAATTTCCCAAACCACAAACTTCGAGCAATTCATTCCCCTCCCCCACACTCAGCACTCCTACCCTCAGCAGGACAGAGATAAACAGATGCCCTGAACACACACTCTCTTGACAGAATCCTTTCCACCTCTTAGATAAGTTCTAGAATTCTGGAGATTGGCCCTTCCTCTCCCAGGCTCTTTCCTGCCCCTGTGTGGAAGTGATACCAACTTCTGCCTAGAATACACTCCAGCTTTGCCCTAGAATGACAGAAAAGAGAGTCTCGTGTTCCAATATCTTTTGGATCCCCTCTCTTTTGGACTTTATGTCATTTAACATGTATTTATTGAACACTTACCTTGCAAAGTGACACAGTGGTTAATTGACAGGACATATTATAGGAGGAAGACTGATGGTAAATGGTAATGTGCTATATGCTAAGTGGGACATTAACTGTCACACGCACGACAGGAAGTCACTGGGAAGGGGAGTAGGGGGCTGCTTTAGATAGGGTGGTCAGGGAGGGCCTCTCTGAAGAGGTGACATTGGAACTAAGCTCTAAAGGATGAAAAAGAATCAGCTATGCAAATAGCTGGAAGCAGGATTGGCTATATTATTTGTGGGGCTGAGTGCAAAGCTCTTTATTCAAATATTACTAAGAAGTTCAAGACAATGACATCAGAGCATTAAGCAAAGCATGGGGCCTTTCTGAACTAGGGGGTTCTGTGGGACTGTACAGGTCACTTGCCAGGAAGCAGCTCTGTCTAAAAGACAAGCTTTCTAGGAAGAGGGAAGAATGAGTGCCGTTTGGGCTTCTGCTCAAGCAAATACATCAGGAACCACTTTCCATCTTGTTTCAAAGAGTATTTATTGAATGCCTGCTCTGTGCCAGGTACTGTCCTAGGCATTGAAATTACAGAGTGAAATACAGAGGCAAAATTCCTGCTCTCACTGTGAGTTTGCTTGCGGAAGGTTGGGGGACAGACAGTATATTGTCTTACCCAAGCCTATAAACAAACAAATGGTTGCAGAAGCTGCAAGGCTAGAGAGGGACCAAGTGAGCTGGGTGTGGGATGGTCAGCTTCAGGCTGGTGGATAGGGGAGAATTCCACCACCAGGGACAGGCTGGCTTTGATCTCTCCTCCCTTGTCCTCCCTCTTTAGACCTCTAGTGCTCCTGGGAGCCCCAAAACATCCCCTGAGCCTCATGACTCTGGAGGTTCTCTGCCCCTGACACCCCAGATGGAGAGCCACTCAGAGGAGGAAGATCCTCCTGGGGCCGGTAGTGGCCTGGCCTGGAGCAGTCGGGGCCCCCGGACCCAGAGCCCAGGGCGCTGCTCAGTGGAAGCTGTACTGGCCCGAAAGAAGCACCGCCGGCGATCGTCAAAGCTTTCAAAGCGCAAGCGGCCCTGGCGGCCCTACCTGGAGCTGAGCTGGGCCGAGAAGCAGCAGCGGGATGAGAGGCAGAGCCAGAGGGCCTCCCGGGTCCGAGAGGAGATGTTTGCCAAAGGCCAGCCCGTGGCACCCTACAACACCACCCAGTTCCTGATGAATGACCGAGACCCCGAGGAGCCCAACCTGGATGTGCCCCAAGGGGCCTCCCACCCAGGCTCCAGTGGGGAAAGTGAGGCAGGGGATGGCGATGGGCAGGGCCGAGCCCACGGGGAGTTCCAGCAGAGGGATTTCTCAGAAGCCTACGAGCGCTATCACACCGAGAGCCTGCAGGCCCGCAGCAAGCAGGAGCTGGTGCGGGACTATCTTGATCTGGAGAGGCGGCTGTCACAGGCCGAAGAGGAGACAAAGAGGCTGCAGCAGCTGCAGGGGTGCACCAGCGGGCAGCCCTGTCGCCAGGTGGAGGAGCTGGCTGCCGAGGTCGAGAGGCTCCGGACGGAGAACCAGCGGCTTCGGCAGGAAAATGAGATGTGGAACCAAGAGGCCGGCGGCCGCAGTGGGGAGCCAGGCACCTAGAGGTGCCCCGCCCCCGGCCCTGCCAGGGTGAACCAAGGAGAAGGTTCGTACACACTCAGGCCAGCTGCGTCTCAGGGAGGCAGGTCTCAGCACTCCTGCACCCCCCACCCCACCCCGAGAACAACTAAAATAGGTTCAGGCTTCCACCTTGTCACTTCCACAATTTGTTCTCTGATGTCATCTTATTTTTCACAAAGAAATTAAATGATTTTGGTGAGATGAAATGGGAGCTGCTAGCATTGATTTCACTAGAGCTGCTCTGAAAATCAAAGCCATTCATCCCAGTCCCCCCTTGCCTTAAGCCTGGGAGGACAACAGACCTCTAGATTGGAGGCCTCTCAGGGTTTCCATGATGCCTGAAATCTGCTCTGTGTATCTGGGAGGAATCAGACTGCTCTGAAGGTTATAGAAAGGGGGAGGCAGAGGCTGAAGGAGGCTCAGTCAGGAGCCTCCAGATTCTGCTGGAACCTGATTTAAGATGCCAGATTGCCCTGAGGAGCTGAGAGTTTCCCCTGGAAGAGGAAGTGCTGGGCTCAAGTCCAGGGGTTCCTTCAGGGTTTGTTCCCAGGCTCCGTGTAATTTCCCTGTCCTCCCACAGGTTAGAGGGCTGAGCTCAACATGGTCTGGGTACCTTGTTTCTCCTTGTCCTTGTCCAGTCCCCCACCTCCCACATCTTTCAGCCAGGGGTTGGGCAGGAGGTTAGTTGTCATGTTTGCCCCTGACTTCCTGGACGGGCAGAGGGAAATTTTCTTCTGATGGGAAATAAGCCCAAGGTGGGGATGGGGGTGGGGGCAGGGAGGACAGTGACTGGATCCTTAGCAATGGGGATGTGGGCAGGGAGGACAGCGACTGGATCCTTAGCAGAGCTGGTGGCCTGGCTTTCCCAGTGCCTGCCATGCATCGTGGCATCCTGCTCCTCTTAGCCTAATCACCTGTATGGCTGATTCCTCTGAGATGAGCCCCTCACCTGTCTGTCTAATAGAGAGTTGAGTCAGCCCGGATATGCAGATACCACCAACACACCAGCAGTACTGGGCTCTGAAGCGAGCTCACACACCCCCTCACACTCAGACCCACCCTTCCCCAGACACCTTGTCTCTTGTCCTTGTGGCTGCAGAGTGTCAGGCTGTGGTGGTGGAGGGGAAGTTAGTCAACTCACCAATGAGCCTGTGTTGGCTCTGCCACTGTGCATGGGGCGGGGCGGAGGCCTGGCAGCCCAGCTTAACCTCCATTCCAGGAAAGATCATCTTGACAGGCCACACTGGGCAAGAGAAGGGCTCAGGCCTGGGAGCTGCTAGGATGGAAATGTTGACAAGCCTTGTGTGCTGCCAGGGCAACTTTCATTTCTGCCCTGCCACACCCAGGCCTCGCCAGCGTCTTCTACAACGAAGCAAGGCGAGAACAGATTTTCAGAAGGAATGGGTTTTAAGAGAGCAAAATCTCCCATCTTTGGGGTCTGCCTTTCAGAACGCTGGCCGAGGGTTTTAGCCCCCTTCCCTTTGATTCCTGACAGCTCTGTCAAGAAGGGCCAGAGGAATGATTGTCCCCACTTTGCAGAGGAAAAACCCAACACTCATAGAGGAAGCAGCTTTCCAGATTCCAGGAAAGCTGGCCTGAGGCCTGTCTTCCCCTGTGGGGTGCTAGCCAAGGACCCAGAGGCCCCTGGGCAGGGTGCAGGCAGCCTCCAAGCTTCTGCATTCCTCAGCATGGAGCCCAGAGGGAGAGGGAAGGGCCAGGGCCAGGACAAGGTTGTTTACCCGAAGGCGTGTGTGTGTGTGTGTGTGTGTGTGTGTGTGTGTGTGTGTGTGTGTGTGTAAAAGTAACTTGGAGGGGAGACGAGATTCCAGAAGGCTGCTGGAGTGTGAGGGGAGGGGCGTGGGTGCAGTGTGGAAGGAGAGAGTGTGGGAGGTGTGTGTCCAGGAGGTGGCTTAGGCCAGGGTGTCCCTGAGCAGGCAGGAGCTACACTGGGAGGGGGTAGAGGGTACAGGTGAGGAGTTCAGCCCTTCTTGGTCCAGAAGCTTCTGAGCTTGGATACAGGAAAGCTGCCAGCTGGCCCTCCCCACCCCCAACACACACACACACACAGTGGCTGAAGGACTCTTGGTCAAGGCCACACTGAAGTGGGTCAATTTTCCCAAGGCTGGTGGGGCCCACAATGGGGCAAGAAGAAAACAGGGGAAGGGTGTGAGCTGGGAGAGTGTCTGGAGGGGCTGAGAGGGATCAGTGAAGAAGAGTCAGTGTCACCCCCTTCCTCTCATCTGGGTCCCGGATCTCAGTGCCTGGAACCCCAGGGTAGAGCTGGAGTGTCTCGAGGCTCAGCACTGGGGACAGCCAGCTCAGCTTCAATGGCCAGGCCCGGTTAATCGTGCCTTCTCGCCTTTCTCTGGCTGCCTGGTCCAGGGCTGGGCTTCTCCAGACCCCACCTCAGTGAAGAAGCTCCAGTTTACAGACACCACCCACCTCCACCCCTACCCTGCACCCTGTCAGCTGGAAAGCCTGGCTTGGTCACACTCCCCTTTCCTCCCCCACTCCCTAGGCCTTTCTAGAGCAGGTGCTCAGTGCCTACTTCCCTCATGCCCATTTGCTTTCCAAGCCCTTCTCAGTCACCTGGGCCAGGGGAGACAGGCCCAGAGAGGCAGATAGTTCACAGGACTGATTGTAAAATCTTCCACCTCTCCCAGGTGGAAACTCCGGTGTCCAGTGGACAGTCCCTGTCTGCAGTGGGGTCAGGGACCGAGAGGTGGTGGAGTGGATAGAGCAGCTAAGGGGCCTGAGGGGCTGGAGGAGCCTGCCAGGAAGTGGGGAAGGGGGTCTGAGGTGAAAGTGATTTAGTATGAGTGATGAGGGGGCCAGGTCCCATTGCCCCCGTTGGGCACAGGCAAGGATGGCACTGGCCCTTTAAGTGGGGGTGCCAGTCAATGCCCTCCCCCAGCCAACCCAATTCGTGGGCACACTGAGCATGTGCAGAAGCTGTGCAAGGGGAGGGGAGGGAAGTGGGGGGATAGATTCCGGAGGGAGCTCCTCACCCCCCTACTTCCTGTAGCTGCCCCCACTCTCCTTCCTGGGTCTGACAAAGGAGCCCGTGGTGCTCAGCCAATCCCTTCCCCCATCCCAGACCCCCAGTGGGTGCTGCTCTCTGGGGGCACTGGAGCCTGCAAGGGGTGATGGGCAGCCTCTCTTGGCCCTGGGAAGTCTCAGGGAGCCCCCCCTCTGCTGCCCAGAGGTGACTCCCACATTCAGCCCAGTGCCATCCTCACTTCTCCGGTGTGGGTGGTGGGTAATCTTCCTGCTGCTTAACACGTTCAGTTTCATTCCATTGGTGCCAAGGTTTTTAAAGGAATTATCTACCTTGATGACGCTCTGCTCTGAAAATTAAAAACAGCTAAGATGAGGTCCTGCCCCCCACCCCCAGGAGCTTCCAGTCTAAAGTCTGAGGGGAAGCAAACAGCTTAGAAGCTGAAAGCTCCTGTCCCACTCCCTCTCCTCGTTCTCCCTCCTTCCTCACAAGTTCACAGGAACAAACTGCTTCCTCAACCAGCTGCATCCTCCAGGCCACCCTCCCCTGCAGCCTTGGAAACCCCCCTCCCTCAAACCTTTCCCCCACCCCAAACTTACCAGTTTCTACAAGTCCTACTCCCTCCCTCACACCTGGGGGAGGGTCCTCCACCTTTCCTTCCTCGACACTTGCTCCCTCTTCTCCTTCCTTTAATCTCTTATCTATTATAGGTATCCTTGTTTTCAATTGAGGTGAAAGTCACATAACATAAAGTTGACCATTTTACAGTGAACAGTTCAGTGGCATTTAGTACCTTCATAACGTGTGCAACTGCCATCTCCACCTACTTCCAAACCTTATAAACCCAAAAGGAAACCCCATACCCATGTGGCTACTCCCCAGTCCTGCCTTTCTCCAACCCAGGCAACTACTAACCTGCCTAATGCCTCTATGGATTGATTTATTCTGGATATTCTGGTGGTAGAGCCAAAAGGGAAAAGGGAAAACTGGTCTCCTGGGCCTGCATGTGAAAAGCAGACTGAAGACCTATTGTGGAGGGAGCACTGGACCAGGAGTTCTAAGACCTGTGATCCATCCCAGTTCTGCTTCTAACTCAGGGGCCTCCTCTCCTCTGTTGTCCAAGGGGGTGGGGGGCTTCAGGCCAGTCTAGAATGCTGGGCCCTCTGGGGCTTGCCCCTGGCTGGGGGCTTCTGCCTGGGATTGTGCCTGGCAGGAAAAATATACCTCTTTGATTCTCTTGGCTTCTCCCTGCCAGGTCCAGTGGAGGTGGCCCCAGGGTCAGAGTGATTAATACTATGGGGTTTGGGGTCAGAAGCATGAGATGAGGAAACTTTGGCTCAGACAGGTTGAGAAATTTGCCCAAGGCCACACAACTCCTGCTGCACTAAATCTGCAGCCAGTTCTGTCTGATTGTATTCGAGCTCTTGACCACTGTGTTCTCCTCTCTTCAAAGAGACAAAGTAAGTGAAGGGCTTAGCCAAGTGCCAGCTGTGTGGGAGGTGCTCTCAAATGGAAGCAACCATAAATTTTACTCCTTGCGGGAGATTGCATAATCGTGAATAGCTCCCTTCCAAGATGGTTACGTTGTCTTTTGGAGAGGGTTTCCTCTTTGCCTTCCCCTGGCCTCCCCACAATGACATAATGACAGCTTCTGTGGGGGCTGTGGGGCTGCCTGGGCCCTGAGACTTCAGGGCAGGTGGGAGTGACAAGCATGGCTCCCTCTCCCCAAAGAAGGAGATGTCACTGTTTCCTTCAGCAGGGCTCAGTTCATCCATTTCTCCATGGCTGACATCCACCCCTGCCCCTCTAACAGAAGGGACTTTGTGGACCCAGGAGAGGGAGGGGACCGCACAGGCCTGGCCTGGCAGGAGACAGGCGGAGCAGCTGGCTCCTCAGTTGGCCACTGTGTCCCAGCTGCCTGTGGGCATGGGCATTCCAGAGACCAACTGCCCCAGAGATCCTCCCTGGACCCCATCCAAGATGAAAGGCCCAGATCAGCCCTCAAGGAACCTGCTCTCTTCTGCCTCAGGACAACCAGGATGGGGTGCCTGCCCTGCTCCCTCCTACCTGTGTCCAGTGGGTTTGAGAGGAAATTCTCAAGGAGACCAAGTCGTAAGGAGGACATTATGAGCCATGAATGTGTCCAGAGTCTACCTTGGCCACAGCCCAACCGTCTACGGAGAAGAAAGGGAAAGGGGTCTTCTTGGG